GTTTTCCTGACCCTCCAAGTAAGGTTTGAGGCTATTATGGGCTCGTAAAACGGAGAGTCTTTAGGGTTTATGTTCTTGGGGCAAGGTTTGGAGAGTAGGTGTTCTGCTCTCACTGCCAACACTTTACATTGCCGTTGTTTTTCAGACCTGTCTGACAGTAGATCATACAAGTAGTTGTGGTAGTACCACCCCTATTCTTGACTGGTAGGTATCTCCCCCTCCTGTTACAAAACTCACCTCCCGAATTACATACTTCCGATTTTTGATTTTTGCATTATACGACTGAAATGGTGCTTTTCAAGAACAGAGGGTGGGGGTGTTTGATGACAGGGGAAAGTCTCAAATGAGTCCTTATACAAACCTGAATGGGTACCCAAGTGGTACTGAAAAACAAGAGCTTATCAATGAGCATGTGAGGCCGAGGGTAGTAATACCAATAACCTTGGCGTTGAATCTGGATTCACAACTCAGATTTGTCCCGTTTCCTGGTGTTGCACCGCAACTCGGTGTACTTCCCTGCGACACTCTACACACGTTTAACTTTTGAATATGTTTGAGCTTTTCCCTTCAAGTCATGGGAATCCAGCGGGAGGCCCGAAAGCCACTGAATGTTTCTTTCGCAGGAGGAGGTGGGTGGAACTTGACCACCTCCTCGACCCTACTGAAAACTTGGAGCAGCCCAACAATAATCAACGGTCTTAGCCCTGGGCCGTAGATATGGGCGCCCTAGTTTTCAGAGTTGTAAGTATGGGGCCCTAAATGGCATGTAGGTCTTAATTTATGTAGTATGCAATAGCATGCAAGTTGCATCTACGGAGCCCAGGGCTAAGGGGTCAACAGGGGTCTAACCATAGAATCCTTAGAACCCTAAATCTTCAGTCGAGACCCTAAGCCCAAAGCTTTCTAACCCGCAGACGGAACAACAATCCTGGGAAAAACCCAAACTAAACCCCAAACCCAAAACCCNNAACCCTAAGTAATGGTAGTAAACCTTGAATCTCAAACCTGAACCCTCTAAAGCTAAACCCCTATAATAACCCTAAGCCCTATATGACCCTAGATGACCCTATATACCGTGTATAAACACCATTAGAAACCCATACAACCCTATAAACCCCAAGAAGCCAGGTGCTGCCCTCGGAGGCCTCACTTCTTGGTTTCGGTTCAGTTATGGAGACCATGGTCTCTCTATACATGACTCTCTTTTGAAACTTTGTTTCGGGTTCAGGGTTAGGGTTTAGGGATTTTGTTTCGTTTGGTTGGTTTAAGATTCGCCCACCTCGGGGCTAGAACTTTACTGCGAGGTGGTACTAGCGCTGTGGCGAAGTGCAGCCAAGGAGTGTGACCGGCGGCAATGATTGGATCCAATATTATAGACTGTTCGAGAAGCTCCAGAGCTTTTACCACTGGTTGTATTTGGGCTTCATTTTCTTTTTCACTTTTGCCATCTTCAACATTTTGACCGCACTGTTCGTTGCTTGGTCGTACTTTGGGAAGCTCTTTCCTTGTTTTTCTATACAGGGCACATTTTTTGGTTCTGACCTTCCGAGAGTTCAAGCGCAAAATCCTAGGTGGAGAAGGCAATGGCAGCCTCGCGTCCCGATAGACATCGGCAAATGGTTTTAGAGCGCAGAAAGTTTGCCGAGCAGGCCGCAGAGTTACGGGAGCTCTTCTCCAAGATGGACAAGGATGATGTAGCTCCAGCCCTAACTGAAAACCTAAACTTTAACTTAAGCCCCAACCTGCAAAGCCTAACCCTCAACCTTGCTTTCTGCTTCGGCCATGCTAGTGTTGAAGCCCGAGCCCTAAGACCCAGATGGACAAGGACCAAAGTGGAAGGATCACACAGGAGGAGTTCCTGGAGTGCATGCGGGATTCGGAGATCCTTTCGTACATGCTCAGTGTTGGTCTTGATGTATATGACGCGCAGTACTTGTTCGAGCTCGTGGCTGACAACCAGGGTGAACTGGAAATCTCCCGTTTCGTGGATGGATGCATGGCAGTCAAAGGAGCAGCCTCAGCTTTAGACGTGCAGAAGCAGTTGGCTCACATAGAGCAGGTTGAGCACAAGCTTGAAGCATGGGAGAAGGAATATTGGCCAGCTCTCATGAGTTTCGCCTCTGGGGTTCATCTTAAGCTTTAGTCATTCGTTTTTCGGCTCAGTAGAGCATTGCTTTGGGTGAGGATGAGCTTGGGAGAGTCATGAACTCATGGTGCAGCCTGAAGATGTTGAAAGTCTGAACTTCACCCAGGGAAATTCCCTGAAGGCCACCGGGGTGAAGCACCCTGTCTGGTCTGGTGTCATGCTAAAACAGCATCTCACCGATGGCCGCAAAAAATCAGTCTGTAGGTGTCCAGCATCTGAAGACCCGCCCGAATGGGCTCAGACATGTGGTTTCCAAGAATGTGAGTTTCCAGTACACAAGAAGCACACAATTTCCCTACTTCAGGAGCCCAAGTAGCACGACCTTTCCATCTTTGGAATCTGCCAGAATTTGTTGGACAAGCCATGTGATGCATTTTCGCGCAGAAGTTGCTGAGACAAAAACCCTGTGAGTCTCTTGAGTGCAACCTCATGTCATGATGCCATGCCGTGATTGCAGGCAATGCCTTGTGAATCCGCGGAACCTTGAATTCAGGCTCAACGCACATAGTGCCTACAATGTCCCAAGGNNGTTTCTTCATGGGCTGCCGGCTATGCCCGCAATGAACCGCTGAGCTTTGCGCAGTTGCTGGGCCAAGTGGCTTCCAGGTGCGGGAAGGGGGGTGGGGGGGGGTGGAGTGGTGGTTTCAAGGCCTTTCATATGGGCCTGTATGAAAATACTTCCAACTTTTACCTTATGTGCCAAATCTCTGGTGTTTTTTTTTCTCCTTGTCAGTTATCCAATTTCTTTTGCGAAGTGCCAGAGTCACGTAGAGCATTTAGAACACCAGCTTCAGCCGGCGTCACGCCTGGATTAACTGGAAGCTTTCGTTGGCGTGCTTTGTTGCGTCTCCTGTTTCAGATTTATTTTGGGCGAGCATGCTTCCTACATGGTTAATGCTTCCTTTGTATTGAGAGAAATGTGTATACACTTTTGGAATATGCCGTCATATGTTTTGCTATTCTCATAGTTCGCTTGTCTTTTGTGCGACACTTCAGCTCTGTGCAGCATGCTGCGCCGTGCAGATGAAGATGAAATGGGAAAGATGTTTGAATTTTTGGTGAGCCGCGAAAGATCTGGTCCGTTTTGCAGGTCTTGTAGGGAAGTTTTGTAGCAGACTTCTAAGCATCAGGTAATTTGCCATTTGCGTTCGTTTGGGTCGGAAGCTGCCAGCAGATTGAACCTAGAGCCAAATTTACGGCTTGCCTGGATGTTTTTTTAAAGTTTGGGAACATGCATTCAATCCAGTGTTCCAGGCACGAGTCAGACATCGCCGAGCTTTCAAGCAGCTTGGCCTGTGTCAGATGATTTAGGGTGAGTTGGGCAAGTGTCCGTAGGATGTGTGGACACACATGGATCGGTTCCATGGAGGTCAATGCTATGCCTTGGAAACGGAAGTCCGCAGACTCAAATCTGCCCATGCTGACGAGACTGCCCAGGCTCTCATCCTCGGTTCCGTGTATTTTTTCCTAGCAGAGGATGCTTATAGTTGTTCGGAGGAGGAGCAGCAGCAGCAGTACCATTATTCTGGCTGGCAATGGCATCTCCCACCAAATGTATTAAGATCTGCCCAAGATTCCTATCAGTACTAGTACTCAGTACTTGCGGTGGTTGCCGGTGGCTGCCAGTGGCTGCTGCTGCTGGTGGTTGTGGTG